CACTCAGGAAGCGGGCTCTGGCCCCCAGCTCTCCCACTCTACTCTCCTTTCAGGAAGGCGAGAGGCAACTTCATTGCTTCAGTTTTGTGTCCCCGCCAATGCTCAAAGTTCCACCTTCACACCTTTTTTATTTATTTACTCTTTCCGCTGGCTCCATTTTGGTTCTGTTAAGGAGCACAGCACGTGTACGTGCCCAACAAACCTTTCTGGTGCAACTCTGCAGAATCCCATGGGCTTCTCCACACGTCTCGGTTCTGATGGGCCCACAGGCTCATGTCAGGGTTTACAAATGGCGGGTGTAGGCCTTGGTGCCCCTTGGCCTATGAGGTGAAGCCTTCTTCAGCTCAACTTTTAAGGACCTACTCTGTGCTAGCATTTGTGGGCACCGCAAGCAACGCAAAGTTATATAAAGCTTGATCCGTGTCGCCAGAAGTTGACGGCCCAATGGGGACAGAGCCCTGCTTAATCACAGATGACTATGTGGCTGGTGTGCTTCACTCTTCCTCTGTAGGACACTGGTGACCAAAGCCTGGATGGCAGGTAGCCAGGTGGAGGGCAGGAGGCCTAGCAGGTGCGTGGAACATCCAAGAGCATCATTAGGTTCCGGGTCACCCTGGCATGGCCCTGTCTAAAGGCCCTGTGTCTCGGATGCTGGGTGGGATCTGGGAAGAACAGCTGGCCTGAGCCACTGTACTTCGGTATTAGGGAAACTCAGTTTCAGCCATCATTCTCACGTCTCTGGAAGCTGGGAGCCAGTGATTGCTGTAGAGGGGAGGAGGTAGAAAACTCAAAAGAGTGCTTGCTCTGGAGTGGCCCCATCTGAGTGTGCAGGTTCCAGGTGGGTGCGCATTTGCAGATCTGTGCAGGCGACTGTGGGTGGACACAGGTGCAAGACTTCGGGGCACACATGAGTGTGAGGATAAGGTGCCTGGTGAGTGATCAATAAACATTTGTAGAATGAATGGATAAATGTGTAAAAGTTAAAGTTATCTGTTTTCCCACTCGACAATCTGCTCTTTGGGCTTTCTGTCCAGGAAGCACGTCGAGACCCTTGGCTTCACCGCATACACCGCTCTTTCCTTTTTTATTTACTTTTAAACTTTTATTGATGAGCAACACGCACGTGGAGAAGTGAGCACATCGTCACACGCGCGTGGAGGAGTCTGCACGCCCCGGGGGCCCCTGTGGAGAAGCAGAGCGGCTGGTGGTGCCCGTGAGCCCCTCTGTCCCATCCACCGCGGGCTCCAGGGGACCCCGGCTCTGTGTCCCCAGGGCGCCGGCCTGCACCCCTCGCTGAGCGCTTCACAGACTCAGTTTCCGGTGTTGTCTTCTTCTACCCCATATTGGGTTTGTGAGAATCACATGCAGTTCAAAGGGTGGCTGCGTGCCGTTTGTTTTCATTGTTGTATAGCAGAAGTAGGCAAATTAATTCTGGGAAAGGCCAGAGAGTAAATACTTAGGGCTCTGGGTTTTTTCTTTAATTTAATTTTTAACTTTTTAATTAGCACCTGCAGTGGTAGCTTTTTCACCTGAATGCAGTTTGCGTTCCCTTCCGGGAGTAGGTGCAAGCACACAACACTTTAGGTTTTTCAATCCCTGTCCCACCCGTGCCTCCTCTTCCTCTAACTCCGTCTCCTTTTTCCATTCTTGCTGTGGATCATTCGTCTTAGCTCATGCTCATGACATGATGCCTACACTTGCTGAGCTTATTTGGCTCCTGTACACCGTGTGTCCTGGTTCGACTCACTCCCCTCTCCCACCTCCTCTTGCCCTCGGTCTCCTGGACTTTGCTATGTGCTAGAGCTCTGTCCTCTTACCCTCTCCTACCCATCTTGATTCCGCTCTTTCTTCATACTTTGCTTTGCTCCAATGAGAGATACTCTGCAGAGTCTTAGCTTGTGTGTCTGATTTATTTCACTCAACGTCATGTTTTCTAGGTCCACCCATTTTCTGACAAATGTCTCAAATGAACTTGTCCTCCCTCAGAGCCGAGTAGTATTTCATTGTGTGCACGCACCACATTTTCTTTATCCGCTTGTCCGTGGATAGGTATACAGGTGGCTTCCGGGACTTGGCTATTGCGAATTATGCTGCTGCAATCATCTATGGGTTTCTCTGTCCCTGTTGGTTCTCCCCGACTCTGCTGTGGTGGCGCAGATTGGGCCTCAGGGGCCAGGTGAATGAAGGGACTCGGCTGTGTTCCAACAAAACTTTATTTACAAAGCGGAAGTAGTTGGACTTGGCCGCAGGCTGGAATTTCTAACTCTTCGATATCGTGCATTTCTGGGGCTATGGCGACCTTTACCCATTGAAGCACTGTCATGGATACTCCTGTGCGCGCTCTTTTATTTTATTTTATTTATTTAGTTTTTTGGTACTGGGGATGGAACTCAGGTCCCTGTGCTTGTGAAGCAGGGAGCGGAAGCACTGAGCTACATACCCGGTGCATCCCGTGTGTGCTCTTTGGGACGCAAGCTGTCCTGTGTGTTGGGTGTATGGCCTCCCTGGGTGGAGACCTTAGGGTCTGCAGGGTTAGGAGCCAAACAAGCAGCGGTAGTACTGACAGCACCTAGGTGCCCCTGTGATCTCTCACGGCGCTGGAGATGGGGCCCAGGGCTGTGCATGCTGGCCAGCACTCTGTGACCGAGCCACCTCCCAGTCCCGTTTCTTTACTTTCCTTGGGCCAGGGCCTTGCCTGGTCACCCTTGAGAGGTCACCAGGTCCCGCGGGGAGGACAGCCATGTACAGACCCGCTCAGCAGCACCAATCTGGGGCAGCAGCATGGTGAGTGGGCTTGAAGGCCTCCACTTTGGCCAGCGGCTTTGGGAGCTAAACGCTGCACTCGCCTCCTTGAGCTGCTGTTGTTTCACCTGCAATCGGCTTTAGCAAAGCCCACCTGCCTGGGGAGCCAGAGGAGCCCTCTTTATAAACGGAAGAAAACACGGCTCTTTGTGAGAGCCACTGACCTGTGTTTCTGGACAAGTGCTCAGTTTAGTGAACCCCAAGTTTCTTTGAGTATTTCTATGTTTTCATTTATTGACATATCTATCGCTGATGTATTGCAGTATTGGGGATTGAGACTAGAGCCATCATATTGAGCTACAATGCCAGTCCTTTTTAATTTTAGTATTTTATTTTGATTTTTGAGACAAGCTGTTGCTAAGTCACTACGTGGTCAGCTGAGCTTGAACTCATGATCCACCAGCCTCCACCTGCCAGGGCCGAATTATCACTGTGTGACACCAGGCCTGGCAAGCACCTCTCCCAGAAGCTCTCCCATCCCAGCCCCTCTGAGTAGCTCAGCCCTGTGAGCCAACTGGTAGACCCTGGATGTCTGACAGCATCAGTGATGAGTTCTCCTGTGTCGTGGTGGCTGGTAACACATGATCCGATGTCTGAACAAACACATACTGAGTTCAAATCCTGCCTGAATCGTTTCCTTCGTGTGACCTTGGGCAGGTTGCTTATTCAACTGCTATGCATCACCTCTTTGAATTCCCCCAATGGTAGCAGGGAAGCAGGCCCTGCTATCACCCTCACACTGCAGATCGGGAATCGGAGGCTCGGAGAAATCAGGCCTGGCTGGGTGGGCGGGTGGGGGACATGGGTGGGGGACATCTCCCTCTAGACTCTGGCAGCTGACACTGACCACCCGTTGCTAGGAACCACTGGTTCTAGTTTTCCAGGAAAAGGAATTCCTGTGGAATTTTGTGCTTTCAGCGCCCTGAGGTTGGCCAGTCAGCACAAATTGCCTTTTCTTGGAGATGTAACTCAATGCTGGAGCAGTCTTATGGAAAAAGTGACTTTCCTCCATATCCTTGTAAAGAGACTGCCAGTTACAGATGGTGCTGAGGACGAAACATTGAGGTCTTTTGAAGAGAGGCCCTCTCCTTTAGAAGTAGGCAGATGATACGTTTTTTTGGTTTTTTTCCTTAGCAAAGGCCTTCCTGTTTCAAATTTCTAATAAGTGGTTCATTGTTCAAATGTTGGCATGAAGTGAGTTCTGAGCACCACAGGTCATCTCTGGGCCGATGAACTCCACCGATTTTGAGTATCAAAATTGTCAGAAGTGAAACTGGTGTTTTTCGATGCATTTTCACTTTCTCAGAATTGAAAGACGTTTGTTGGGGAAAAAAAATTAAAGTTGCACAATTTGTTGTTGAATATAAGAGATAAAGCACTGGCACTGCTCCAGTGGCTGTCTGTGGCCGGCATGATGATGTTTTTATTCTGTCAGTAAACGTTGAGTGTGCTTAGCACGTTTGCTGTGTCACTTAGCAAGGTGCCCGTGGTCTTTTCCTGAGTGGACGGGGAGCTTCTGGCTGGGTGGGTCCTGAATCCGCCTGGTTTGAAAGGTGATCTGGGTTCCGAGTGTCTCTAGAAGACCGTCAGTTCCCCTGTGCATCCTGAAGCTCTCAGGAGGCTACGAAGTCAACACTGGAGCAAAACCAAAAGATGGCATCCTGCAGGGCCAGAAGCAGCCATTTATGCCTGTGGGTGACTGCGGCTGGGATTGGGAGGCTGTGGAGCTACGTGGAAGCCAGACCCATAGATCTGGGAGACCCAGAAATTGCAGAGAGTGACCTGCGGGCCCCAGAACTCCAAACAACCCCCTGTCAAGACTGCAAGATGAAGCAGATGTGACCGTCCCAGCAGGAGAGACCTCATCTTCTCAGCCCACGTGGGTAGGGGTGGAGAAGGGGAGAGTTTAATGAGGACCGCACGGGCATGAGAGAACTCCTTTTCCCACGTGCGCTGTCCAACTGGGGCTCTGTTAAACACCCCTTCTTGTTGATGAAGCGCTCTGTGGAAACTTGCGGTAGGCTGTGGGCAAGGGGATGGGCTGGCCCTTGCTGTGCTGGCACCAAGGGCGGTGGAGGAGAAGGGGAAAGAGGCAGGGATGTGTGGGAAAGGCCATGAGACAAAAGAAGGGAGAGGATTCCTCCGACCAGTGACACTGGGAAACCCCAGCGGCTCGCTGCCATACAGCCGGGGCCTGGCTACAGAGGTGACCTGGAACTCTGATTCCCGGCCCTCGGATTCGCTGCAGCATTGGGATCCAGGCCTTGGGTAATGAGCACCCAGGGTGGTGGATGAGGTTTGGAGTTAAAATCCATCTGAGGCCTCGCTCCCTGCCAACGTCTACAGCTTAATAATTGCTTCCCCGCTCCTGCCGCATTCGGGTTCAAGAGGAGAGCAAGCCCCTCCAGCAGCATTATGCAAATGGAGCCCACTCCGTTCCAGAGGCGTATAGAATATGTAAATTTATGGAGGCGGCAGAGGCTGTTTAAGACAGAAGATTTCTCAATGATGAAATTAGATTTTCTGGAAAGAGGCTTCCGAGGACCCGTCTCCGTTCCCCGGCTTCGTGCCGTGCTGTAGCCACCAAGCCAGTGCACTGGGAAATAATTAACTGAATTACAGGCTCAAACCTGCTTTAAAAAAAAAGAACGAGGGAAAGAAGAAATAGATCAGGTTTCCATGAAGCCACAACAAATCCATACTTTACGGATAGCATGTAAACAGGAACGGAGGGTGAGAAGGAGGGAGAGACGGAGGCCGGCAGGGGAGCATACGGCTCTGGTTAGCAGGGGAAATTCACACAGCGGGCAGAGGGCTTTGCCTTCACACCGGGATCTGCGGGCCCTCGAGTGGGGGACCCGGATGGGCATGGACAGAACTACGTACTCCGGAGTCCTCTCCAAGGCAAGCTCTACAGCTGTAATCTCCACGCTGTTCTAAAGATGACGGAATTATCCATGTAGACCACAGGCTCTCAAAACATGAATGCACTTTGGGCTTACCAGAGAGGCTCGCTGAGCACAGACTGCTCAGTCCCTGTCCTGGGGAGCCCCAGAGAGAGCCAGTGTGCTTTTGTGATGGGGCCCCCCTGGGTGGCTGATGTTGCTGGCCACAGGTATGCAGATGAATACCTCCTTCAGCCCTCACTGTGGTTCCTTGCAGGAACGGCCACTGCTGTCCCCAGGGAACATCCTAGGCTCAGCTTCAAGTTACAAGACCACCTGAGCCTCAGGATTCTCATCTGCAGAATGGGGAGACCTGGGCCTTGAGGATGCTGGGAGGACTCGGGAGGATTTACACTGAGCACAAGCACAGGCATTAGACAGCAGGGAGATTATCATTGTGATTAGTGTGTACGCAACCGTGGAACTTCGGAAAGAGTTGTACGGTGAGCTTCAGCTTAAATTCGGGAATACCAGTGGTCCCAGTCCTAGTCCTGAGCTCCATGCTCACTTGTGTGAGATCTGGGCACAATGTCACTCACCCTCTCCAACACCCAGGTATTGCAGAAAGGAGTGGGTGGAATGCAAGAGCTCCAGAACTCTTCCAGCTGTGCAGACTTCACAGTTCCACATGGGGCCGTGTCCCATCTCCACCTGTCTCAGTGTGGTGCACCCCACCTCTCTTGGGCTCCTCTTAGCCTCCTTGCCTTTGACCTCACCTCCACCGATCCATCTTTAAAAGTTCCCAAATGGCAACCTCATTCTGACCTCTCCTGCTCAAACCTTCCATGGCTCCCCTTTCCCCTGCTGTAGATCAGGTCCAAACATCTTAGATAGGCATCCAAACTCCTCTAGGTTCTGGCTCCTCTAAGTCCTCCATCTCCTTCCTTTCCATCTTCCACTCTGTTTTCCAATAATATAAGGAAGAACACTGGGCCCCAGGTGTCCTATTATTTCAGGCTCTCTACTTGCCTGTTTCTCCACACTGGCCCCTCCTCCTTTTCTCTATAAATCTTTGAACTTTAGTGCTCAGCCAGACACTGCGTGTCCTGAAGGCCTCCTCTCTCTCTTCCTACGACTCCAGCCAGATGAGATTCTTCCTGTAAGCTTGTCTGTGGCTATCTGATTAGAGGGTCTGCCGGGTTGTATTGTAACAATCCACTTTCCTGCCTTTCCCCCTGGTCATGAATAGGGGGAAAGAAGAGACACCTCATTCATTAGGCTCTTTGGAAATGTTCTGTTCCATTATTTGCTTGATCTGCTGTCTATGAGCCATGTGAGTGCAGGGTCCTTATGTAATTTGTTTTCTGCTGTAACCGCTGTACTTATTACCATGCCTGGTAGTAGTAGATCTTCGGTCCTTGAATTAATAAATCCAAACTCTGTGCTCATTTTCACAGATTTCTCATTAACCAATATATCCCCGCTGCTTATCAAAATGTCTGGCATGGAAGTGCTCAGGAAATATTTGCTGAATGAACAAATACTTGAACAAAATGAATGACTTCATATATAACTGTATCAGTCAGCTGCTGCAGCATAACAAACAGCCACTAAATCTCAGTTGTGTCAATGACCAGCGTGTGTTTTCCATCTAAATTTATTCTGCAAATTCACTGCGACGGTGAACTGCGGGTGTATCTGGCTCAGCGGTGCACCTCTGTCGGCCTCTGCAGACAAGCAGGCCAGCTGGGACATCTTCCCATGGCTGGGGCAGAGGTGCGTGAGAAAAACTAGAAATGCACAAGGTTTCTTAAGGTCCATGGCCAAATCTGGCACCTAGTCAAACCCAGTCAAAGCACAGGATCTTCCCTGGAGGAGAGACAGCCAGGTCCCATGGCCGAGACTTGGGTGAAGAGCTGGAAGGAGAACTAGGTCCACACTGGTGCTCATTCCAGAATCCAGACAAGAAAGCCCCTGGTATTCAGAAACCCTTCCCTGTGATCCCCCACCCCCAGGTGAGGCTCCTGTGCTCAAAACTCCAGGAATCTTTGCATTTTGTGCATTGTACACACCCTTTTATCACCAGCCCTGCCACCTGTGGTCATGTTCCCAGGCCCTCATTAAATGCCCTTTAGCTCCCATTTCACAAGAATGGCCAGGCCGGGGCATGTCACAGGCCCCCCCGCCAGCCCCGCCGATCAGGACTTTCCCGCCGATCAGGACTTCCTCCTCCCAGCCTCCTCCCAGACCGTGGTGCATGTCACGAGGGTCCCCTGATGTTTAATGCATGAGCTCCGCATCTTCCCAGCAGCCGCGGTAGACAGATTCTCTCAGCATGGGGATGGCATGAAATCAGATGACTGTACAGGAAACGGCCCGCCCCCTCCGATTGTTGTGATCCTGCCCAGCTCCTTACACTCATTTCCCGTTTTGTAATCTCTTTTATTAATGTGCCGGAGGCAAATAAAAATGCATTTGTAATTTCCCCTTAATGGCTGGTGGAACTTCCTCTTTGCTTCCTTTCTGAGGATTTGTTTGTGGAATGTGCGCACACACGCGCTCACACACACACACACACACACACACAGTGGTCAGGATAAATCGAGTGGCACGACTGTGCGTGTAAAGAACAGAGTCTTGGAATATTTAAGCAGCAAAGGATTGGAGTTCAATGGCTGTGACACTGCGTCCTGGACCCCTGCGGTTCCTCAGAGTGGCAGCAGGGCCTGCCGTGGGGTGAGAAGGAGAGGGACCGGTGGCCCGGCCCTCGGTCTCGCTCCGTTGGAGCCTCTCTGGTTGTATTTGCTCTGTGCACTGTAGTTGTGCATAAGCTTGCTTGGAATCGAGGGCCCCAGTGCTACACAAAATTGTGCCCTATCTCTCACCGACCTCTGAGCAAAAAGGCTGCTTCTTTTTCAGGGAGCTTCAATCATGTGTATCATGGAGTAGCGTTTAGTTTTCAGACCTAACCAGTACTTTTGCCTTTCTGGCAAAGGAATCAAATGATTTTTCCATCTATGTTGGTGAGTTTGTGAGGGGAAAATAAAAGGAATCAGTGCTGTTTTTGTTTTTGTTTTCAAGTGCAATAATCCTCATTTCCTCTACGTGTCAGGGTCTGTGACTCATCCAGGTCCAAGGTGAGCTGGGAAGTGAGGAGGACCCAGGCCCCTGCCTCCGGATTCCACACTTGATGTTTTGGGTTTCAAACAGGCCGTACCTGGGTGATTTGATAGGTGATTCTTCCTTTCCCTAACGTGGTTGCAGGGTGTGGGTAGGAAAAGGGAAAAGCATTGGTGGGAGCTGATACCTTCTGAGCAACCTGTGCATAGCAAGTGTGGCCCACGGTGGAGTGGGACTTGTCTTGTAAAACCAAACCTCGTCGCTAGGTGAGAACTGTTACTTCCCAGGTGACAAGGAGGCAGCAGACTGGCTGGGTAAGCGACTGCTTCCAGGACCCACGGCCGGAACAGCGTATGTTTTAGTCACTCGACAATGAGTGGAGGAGCCAGGGAGGGAGAGACACCCCTTCCCGGCCAGAGTGAAACCTGGGGCCAGGGCCCACCTCCTGTGGACCCGTCAGGGGATTAATTTGCCGATGATTACAGGGCCTGTGGTACAATCATTTCATAAATGCACCAGGCATCGGGGGGACACTCTAAGTCTACCCCATAACATGGTAGACACGGGATTTGAACCTAGGTTTGCCTAATGCTAAAGATCCTCATGGTTGACGACGCACGACGGCAGTGACCGCTGCTACCTGATACGGAATTTGTACTCAGTGCTGGACGGGTAGGGCTGCCAGGTACTGCTGCGCAGGGCGTGCACTGCAGAAGAGCTCCAAACCAAGGAAAGAGAACCAAGCCCAGTCTTAAGGCTGCCCACTCAATCCTGGCCTAAGGCCGCACCCACCTGGAGGAAGGGAAAACCATTCTCTGACCTCTCAGCCAGGAAGGGCTGCCTTTTCCAAACCCTCGCAGCTCCGCGCAAGCTGTCACACTGTCTGTGCACATGACCCCTCACTTTGTGGCCCTTAGGGCAGCTTTGTCATCACTCCCATATTTAAAAAGAGGCCCTGGGAAGTTAGGCTTCTTGCTCTCGCCATGGCAGAACTCAGATTTGAAACCAAGCGGCCAAACTCCCACACTAGAAGACATAAGACTGCACCGAGCCTGCATGCTTTCCTACCGTGCTCTGATAGTTTTGATTTCCACAAGGTTCTAAGAGTGGATTCTGGGGCTGCCACTTCTGGGGACTCGAGGAGACATGGTCTCTGCCCTGGGCCGCAAGTAGCCCTGAGGGTCCATCCAGCCGTGACCTTCTGGTCTCTAGATCAAGTTACCCAGCTCCTCCACCATCACTGCTCAGGGTGAGGAGGGATGGTAGAGCCCCACCTTGCTCCTCCCCACCTGCCCTGTCCAGGACCTTCTTCCTTGGGGCGCCCTAAAGACGCTTCTGGTGATAAACACCTACACAGAGTTAACAGTCCAGCTTTGTCCTGGGGCCCACGTCTCATCTGGAGGGACCCT